GACAGATAAGGCGAACCTCTTCGCCTCCATCATATCTCCATCGACAGACAAGGCGAACCTCTTCGTCTCCATCATATCTCCATCGACAGACAAGCCGAACCTCTTCGCCTCCATCATATCTCCATCGACAGACAAGGCGAACCTCTTCGCCTCCATCATATCTCCCTCGACTGACAATGCGAACCTCTTCGCCTCCATCATATCTTCCTCGACAGATAAGGCGAACCTCTTCGCCTCCATCATATCTCCATCGACAGATGTCGAACCTCTTCGTCTTCATCATATCTCCCGCGACAGATAAGGCGAACTTCCTCGCCTCCATCATATCTCCATCGACAGATAAGTCGAACCTCTTCGCCTCCATCATATCTCCCTCGACAGATAAGGCGAACCTCTTCGTCTCCATCATATCTCCATCGACAGACAAGGCGAACCTCCTCGCCTCTATCATATATCCCTCGACAGACAAGCCGAACCTCTTCGCCTCCATCATATCTTCTTCGACAGATAAGGTGAACCTTTTCGTTTCTATCTTTGCCTCTAACTCAAAGTTCGACGACAAATATCATCCCCCTCTCCAACTTGTGACGTTTCACTTAGCACAATCTCATTAATATTACAATTACAGCACGAGAAGTCTTTAGACTCATCAATGGTCCTAACCCTAAGAAAGCCACTGTCTCAGACAAAATTCCAGTCGTTGTCCTTAAGAATATCAACCCGGAATTATCCCCAATTCTAGCAAAATTATTCAACTGCTGCTTGAAGAGTAATCTTTTCCTAGCCTTTGTAAGGTATCAAGCGTCTGCCAAGTTTTGAAGAGCATGGATGTGCAATTTCCCCAAACCCCCGCTACATATCTATCAGTCTCCTCAGTATCACCTGTGAGCTTTTTGAGGCCTTAACCAATAAGGAAGTTGACAAGCACTCTTCAGCGACGAGTAGTATGAGTTTCAGTCGTCCCGATCTAATACCGATGTCTTAACTACAAAGAATCAGTAAGGCTCTTGACGACAAACCCTAACCTCGAGGATCATAGTGTTAGATATTTCAAAGGCCTTCCACAAAGTGTGGCACAAAGGTTTACTACACACACCTATTTCAAACCGTTCTTCACACACCTATCGTCAAGTGCTTGTCTCGGAGCATCGTTATAAATTTATTTTCAAAGTCAGTCTTCCTCTAGTTGGCGCTTTGTTAATGAGAGTCGGTTTGTGTTAGCGATTGGTGGGGGCGTAAAGTATCTTTTCCCGGGGGAAGCGGTCTGGGTTTGGAGTTTATTTATGACCAGGACTTTTATTTGAAGTCTAATATCAGTTCTGACTATATATATATAGTGTAACGCGGATATAAGAGAGTTGTCGGGAGCGGGGAAGAAGTCTCTTATATCCGGGTTTCTCTTATATCCGGGTTTGGTCTAATTTATATACATAAACACAGGCTCTAATTTGGGACCAGAGAAAATCTCTCCTATATCCGGGTTTCTCTTATATCTGGGTTACACTATATATATATATATATATATATATATATATATATATATATATATATATATATATATATAACATTGTGTGTGTGTGTTCAATTCTATCGTAACGGTCCGGGTTCGATATTCGGTAGTGGATTCGCACTGCTGATGAGTCTCAAAAATAGGACGAAATGGCCGTCCAGTGTTTTTCTGCATTGTTTTTAGGTCTAGACATGATGAATTATCATGAGAAATTATTTAAAATCCCCAGAATTTCTATTCTGTTTTTTTTATATATATATATATATATATATATATATATATATATATATCGAACATATATTTTTAGGTATAACAGACAACGAATGTCTATTATGTTTGATCCGTTCTAAACTTCGAATGGATGCTTTAATTTCGGGAGAATATATATATATATATATATATATATATATATATATAAAGTTCCATAAAGTTCGTGTGCACATCAAATTTAAATTTTTATAAGTGCACATTTATGTACAAATTGTATATATATATATATATATTATAAATTAATTGATTTAAAATATGGTTATTTTCGCTACACAGTTCCAACCATTTTCATTGTATTTTGTAAAAATAAAATATCTATAAGAACACCGGATTTTATATCTTACTGTTCTTTCTTTTTTATTTATATATATATATATATATATATATATATATATATATATATATATATATATATATATATATATAGTTAAACCTAGAGCGCCAGACAAACCTACCAAGGTTTCACCTAAGCGGATCGTCAGGGAAGGCTGGCCTTCTCTACTCATTGTATTTAGCACTTTATTTAATTATTTTCCGTACTCGCATCCGGTTTTTTTTCTTTGGGTCTTGGACTTGCATGCTGGACTTGAATCTTTTATGAATGAGCAGATATGAATGTACGTGAGAGATTCATAGACGATTGAAGTTCAAATACAGTAAAATTCAACCTTGCTAACCGGACGTTCTTTTGTGGCCAAATCGGTTAAAGGCACGCCAAGCTAAATGACCGTTCCGTATAGGATACAGGTTCGAATCCTGTCGGAGGACGAATATCTTCTGTGAAAATTTCTCGGACATTCAGGCCGGTAAATGTTGTTTAATACCGTTTATTATAAAGAGATCTTTTACTTAAATATTTGTATCTATGAAAATAATGTATAAACATATATATATATATTAAAGAAAAACAGACCACTTTAAGGCACCATTGTAATAGTTTATTTCATGAAAATTTGAAACGAAAAATTAAATTTTTCGTTTCAACTTTTTGAAAGTGATGTCTAAGGATCCAGGGTACTTTAAAAAGGTTCTGGTGAAATAAACTATTACAATTGAGTCTTAAAGTGATTTGTTTTTCCTTAAATTATTAGCTCTGAACTTACATTGAGCTCTAAGGATTTCATCCTCTTTGGGACTACACATACGGATTACCAAGTTTTTGGTAACTTATATATATATATAGTTTCGTTATATAGTTATAATTTTATTTCGACTCACCTCAGACATTACAATTTCCAAATCTTTAACGGTATCATCCGAGGAAGAAGCGAAGCATTCAGAGATATTATCATCTATGGGGAATTCTTGGACGAACGTTTCGAAATCGTCGTCTACATTATGGTTCCACTGGTAAAAGACTCCATTATCTGAATTGCTGCTTCCTAAGTACCTCTTCTTCAGAGACTTGATGCTCAAAAAATCTGAAAGACAATAAAAAGAAAGGTATAAAAAAGAGTGCTCCTACAATAATCGGACTATTTTAAATTTACTGGTCCATTCGTTAAGAATAGGGTAACATTTTTTTTTTATGTGGCGGTATAAATTTTGTTAGTTTTGACCATCGTCAAGTAACATTTTTGTCATATTCAAAAATATTCTAACACTGGTAGCGGTCCAACATGGTCTCTTTATCAGATTTTATACAATTATTCTTGATAAAATCCAACGAAGAATATGCAATGTTATTGGTCCTGACCTGGCATCATGACTTCAGTCATTTTCCCACCACTGTAATGTAACTTTCTTGTGCCTTTTCTATAAATACTTTCATGGTAATTGTTCTGATGAGCTTTCCTCTATGGTTCTCAGTGATGTCAGTTCGCTGGTGGATGCGGGGCGCCTTTCGTTTTCGTGTGAGTGATTTTTTTCGTATTTGTTGTTGTGTCTGAATGAGAGCATGTCAGTGTGAGTGATTGGGATGAATGAATGGTTTATACTATTATAGTCCCGCATTGATTTCGGCCAGTGAAGTGATGTTTCTGTCACATTTAGGAAACTGTGGGGTGTTTTATTACTAATCTTATTTTCTTTAGTTTCTTGTAAATAGTTTTTGTATGCATATTGTAAATACTCATTGGGGTTAATTTTTAGAATTGTTGTTTTATTCCCCTCCCCCCACAGACCACGAATTGTAAATATGGGGACTAGTTAGTATTTTCATAGAGACAAAGAGGTATTATGGTGGTTGTAGTAAGAAAGGTACGAATGAATGTGTTGTTTTGGTGTAAGGATTATTGTTTCGTACGTTTGGGTCAGTGCTTGCGGCTAGCTAAGTTATAGTTATGACAGAAGAAGACCGTCCTTTCCCCAATCCCCCTTTTCGGCCTTGTGCCACATTTCTGTATTTTAAACAGAATAAATATCGCTTTCCTCTATGGTTCTCAGTGATGTCAGTTCGCTGGTGGATGCGGGGCGCCTTTCGTTTTCGTGTGAGTGATTTTTTTCGTATTTGTTGTTGTGTCTGAATGAGAGCATGTCAGTGTGAGTGATTGGGATGAATGAATGGTTTATACTATTATAGTCCCGCATTGATTTCGGCCAGTGAAGTGATGTTTCTGTCACATTTAGGAAACTGTGGGGTGTTTTATTACTAATCTTATTTTCTTTAGTGTCTTGTAAATAGTTTTTGTATGCATATTGTAAATACTCATTGGGGTTAATTTTTAGAATTGTTGTTTTATTCCCCTCCCCCCACAGACCACGAATTGTAAATATGGGGACTAGTTAGTATTTTCATAGAGACAAAGAGGTATTATGGTGGTTGTAGTAAGAAAGGTACGAATGAATGTGTTGTTTTGGTGTAAGGAATATTGTTTCGTACGATTGGGTCAGTGTTTGCGGCTAGCTAAGTTATAGTTAAGACAGAAGACCGTCCTTTCCCCAATCCCCTTTTTTGGCCTTGTGCCACATTTCTGTATTAAACAGAATAAATATCGCTTTCCTCTATGGTACCTAGACTTTATGAATTTAAGCACATTACCTGATTGGCAGCAAGGTCTCATCATTTTACAGTTAAATTAGCTAGATGCAATTGTAAATTCTCTCCTAAGAGTTTCTTTTCTCGCGCTTCTCACTTGTGAAACTCACTTCCTACTCCATACATTCTAGTCAAATTTGATCTTCAAAAATTTAAATTCAATGCCAGTCTTTATCTACTGTCTTTTTGATTCCTCTTCTTTTATTGTTATAGCACGATAATATCCTATCTCTTCTTTCTTAATCTTTCATACTCAGTAATCCCTTGAGTCTCAGTGGCTTTATTCTCTTGCATGGAGTGATATGATTAATATATATATATATATATATATATATATATATATATATATATATATATAATTTCTCAGAGTTAACCTCTAGAAAAAGACAATATTTATAAATGTAAAAGACATTAGGAAAACTGTAGTAGTTGCCAGCGCGTTTCGTCCGATGTGGACTTCCCGCTTTCTTCTTTTAACCTGTCTAGGTGTTCCTATCATTTTCTCTTTTTTTTTTCTTTTTTTTTTTCGAGTCAGCCCTCAACACAGTGTCATCTGTGTCTCTTATATTGTTAAGATTACGCCCACCGATAGTAAATCCAGATAGGGTCTCCAGATATTAACTCCACTGGCTGAACAAGACTCTAATTATCTCTTTTCGCCACAGTTCACATATCTGATTAGGTCTGATTTTATATGTGACAGGACACAAAAGTATGTAACACAATAAATAAAATAATGTCATTTCTGTTCAGAGCGAGTTCCTGTTCGATTTCTTTTTCTCTCTTGGTTTCGTTTTAAATATAGGATAGTGATTAATCAGCCGAGAAAAATCTCAGGTAATCTGATGTCGAAAACTATATTTAACCCACTCAAAAGTGTCATTATTTGCGCCCCAACGTTAATTTTTTGAGCTGCTTTCATTTCCTTTTTATTTTTCTATTTCGTATTTGTTTCGAATTACACGACAACAGGTAACTAAACACGTCGAGCTTTGCATGCACTTTTTTTCCCTACTATTTGATGCTTCACTGCCTCAATATCCATCCGACCGCTAGTAAAACAATGCCAATTAATGTGTAGAGAGCTGATATGCTAATGGGAATGCTAATATAAGCCATTCACCATTTGTTGACCAAACAGTTTGCGTTACACTTGATTAAATAAAATCTATACAGGGTTCTTCAAAAGTAAGTATAACACTAAGTTCACCGCTATGAACTTCTTTTTTCTGCCGAATCTGAGAATCGTTATTTACATTGTCCGGATTGTTGTCCTCGTCTTTATTGCCATATTCTCGACGTTTCAGCCGTTGTACGTGATGTGGTGTCCTCCCTCTAAAGAGTCTATGTTGGACTCTTCCGCCTACCATAAGATTAGTAGGACTTAGGGGAAGAGTCGAATAGATTATTCATTACTGTCGCTCTTTCTGCCTAGAGCGGAGAGGAACCCGGACGAGGCTATGCCGAAGGGAAAAATTTCCTCCGGGGAGGTAGACAGGCCCTGAACCCGTTTAAACGAGTTCGAAAGGAATATTTTTGACCGAGCCTACGGGCTCGGAGAAACCACGGTAAATTCGGCCTTGTGCCACATACATCCCTCGTTGGGGTAGGCTGTTAAATGTTATATGTTTCGTCCGGGGAGGTAGACAGGCCCTGAACCCGTTTAGGCGGGTTCAAAGGAAATATACATTCCTCGTGGGGGGACTGTTAAATATACAGTCCAATAGATTGTCCATCTGTCGAACTCTCTGCTTTGAGCAGAGAGGGACCCGGACGAGACTTTGCCGAAGGGCAGTTTCGTCCGGGGAGTTAGGCAAACCCTAAACCCGCTTATGCGGGTTCTACAGGAATATTTTGGGCATATGATATGCAGATAACACAGTTTTGATAGCAGACACGGAAAGGAAACTACAAGAACTCCTACAGAAGGCAGTGAAGGAAAGCTAGAAGAAAGGACTAAATACCAGTTTCAGGAAAATGGAATGCGCAATTGTTAGCAAAAGAGAACAGCCCAATATGAAAATTACAAATTGGGGATGTCAAAATCAAACAAGTCCAACAATTTAAATATCTGGAAAGTATTTTAACAGAGGAGAGAAAGTATGACACAGAAATCTAAATGGTGCATTTGGATAGGCAAAGATGCATCCCAATAGATAACCTGAGTATTGAGAAACAGAAAAATCTTTGGTAGACACAAGGGAAAGAGTACTGAACTTTTACGTGATACCAGTCCCTCTATATGGCAGTGAATGCAGGACAATATCCTGAAGGATGAAGAAAGGTAAGACTTTTTCAACCTATACAGAGAGGTGATTCTGAGAGAATTAGGATTCTTATCAAGATTCATTATTGGTGGCTACAATCTTAACAATATAAGATATGTCACTGACAGAGTGTTAAGAGCAGAGATGGAAATGAAAAATAACAAAAACTCCTCCAGGTCAATAAAAGTGAGAAGAAAGGTTTAAACATTAACTGCAAGAAGACAGAAATGCATGGTTGTTAGCAAAAGGGGCCCAACATGCAAATTACAAATTGGGGGTGTCAAAACCAAACAATTTCAACAATTTAAATATCTGGGAAGTATTTTAACAGAAGACGGAAACTGCGACAAAGAAAAGAGTATTAAACTCTTACGTAATACCAGTTCTCTTAGATGGCAAGGAAGGCTGGACCATCTCCGCACAGACGAGGAAACTCGCGGCAATGAAAATGTAGTTCTACAGAAGGATGCTGAGGATACCACGAACTGATCAGATTTACTATTAAGACAGGAGTAAATAGTTGTGTCATCATCAGCATAGCTACTGAGTTGATATGATATCAGGAAGGTCAGTTAAAGTTCAAAGTCGGGAGTAAAGTTTCATTCAGAGCCACCCACGCGGCTTAAAATCTCACTAATTAGAGATAAGTTTGAAGCAGTTAGTACCTGTACACGATGTGCATAAAAACAATCCCGGGCGACCACAGATATCAACCACGCCCTGTGGAGCAAGAAAGGCTGATGGAAAGTTTTCACAGAAGTCCAAGAAACACATCGAAATGTAGATTTCTATTTATGATTCCATTGTGTCACATTGTTAGCAATGTCTGAACCAGAACAGACCTCCATTTGAAAACATGTGATGTAAAGAGCATGTATTTACAATAAATACTGTCTTTATTTAATTTAGAACAATTACGACTGAATAGTGAGTTCGATTCTCACTGGGTGCCTCTCTACTTTCGGCCTTGTGCCATATCTAAGCTACGCTTGGAAAATCACTGTTGGGCACATCGGCGTGGTGTAATGGTTAGCAAGCTTGGCTTGCTAGATCAGTTACTACTGAAAAGTGAGTTCGATTCTCACTGGGTGCCTCTCTCCTTTCGGCCTTGTGCCACATCTAAGCTACGCTTGGAAAATCACAACAATCTCACTAATTAGAGATAAGTTTGAAGCAGTTAGTACCTGTACACGATGTGCATAAAACCGTCCCGGGCGACCACAGATATCAACCACGCCCTGTAGAGCAAGAAAGGCTGATGGAAAATTTTCACAGAAGTCCAAGAAACATCGATATGTGGATTTCTATTTGTGATTCCATTGTGTTGCATTGTCAGCAATGTCTGGATAAAAACGGACATCAATTTAAAGACATGCGATGACAAAATCTTAAACGCCTGTCTTTAGAATCAAGACTATCTTCGTATGCATTATTTAAATTAAATATACAAGCTGTCCAGTAAAAAAAAAGTGGTAAATTCAGAAAGAAATTTATTTAGCTGTCATCATTTCTGTCCCCAAACTGAATAATCATCGTAGATGTTCGAAATGTTTGCCTGAATGTTCAACACAAAGCTGTAAGCGTAGTAACCAGGAGGAGGCAATGGCCTTGCGAATAGTATCAAGTGAAATTTCATTCCAAGCTTCAGTTAAGTTCGACTTCAATGAATCACTATCGATGATGTCATGACGACTGTTTTGAATGTGAGTGAGAAACATACTCCAGATACAGGAATTCATAACATTCAGACGAGAGAGATGGACCAAATAAAGATGGTGTCTTTTCTCGAAGAATAAATTTTCCGCTTTTTTTACTGGCTACCCTGGACTTCCTTCAGGTTGCTTGAATTATTTCTTCAGAAAGGTGCAAAATGTGTATACATTTTTTGAGAGACTCTGTATATGAAAATATAGATAGATAGATATGAAAACATTGAGATAGATAGATAGATATGAACAGGCTAAGATAGATAGATAGATAGATAGATAGATAGATAGATAGATAGATAGATATGAACAGGCCGAGATAGATATGAAAACATTGAGATAGATAGATAGATAGATAGATAGATAATGAACAGTCTGAGATAGATAGATAGATAGATAGATAGATAGATAGATAGATAGATAGATAATGAACAGTTTGAGATAGATAGATAGATAGATAGATAGATAGATAGATAATAACAGTTTAGATAGATAGATAGATAGAACAGTTTGAGATAGATAGATAGATAGATAGATAGATAGATAGATAGATAGATAGATAATAACAGTCTGAGATAGATAGATAGATAGATAGATAGATAGATAGATAGATAATGAACAGTTTGAGATAGATAGATAGATAATAGATAGATAGATTTGATAGATAGATAGATAGAGAACAGATAGATAGATAGATAGATAGATAGATAGATAGATAGATAGATAATGAACAGTTTGAGATAGATAGATAGATAGATAGATAGATAGATAGATAGATAGATATGAAAACATTGAGATAGAAAGATGGTGTCTTTTCTCGAAGAATAAATTTTCCGCTTTTTTTACTGGCTACCCTGGACTTCCTTCAGATTGCTTGAATTATTTCTTCAGAAAGGTGCAAAATGTGTATACATTTTTTGAGAGACTCTGTATATGAAAATATAGATAGATAGATATGAAAACATTGAGATAGATAGATAGATATGAACAGGCTAAGATAGATAGATAGATAGATAGATAGATAGATAGATAGATAGGTAGATAGATAGATAGATATGAACAGGCCGAGATAGATATGAAAACATTGAGATAGATAGATAGATAGATAGATAGATAGATAGATAGATAGATAGATAGATAATGAACAGTCTGAGATAGATAGATAGATAGATAGATAGATAGATAGATAGATAGATAGATAGATAGATAATGAACAGTTTGAGATAGATAGATAGATAGATAGATAGATAGATAGATAGATAGATAACAG